TGAATATGAACAAGGACAACAACAATCAGAACGAAGACCACGTGACATAAATGTTGATAAAAATGTATCAACAGCTGTTAATGACCATGGATTTGAACCATCACTTATTATTAACAAACGTAATGATGATAAATTTATTGTTGATGATAAATTATTCATTTCACGTAATGATAATACAGCCCAATGCATATCACGTGAACGTACAATGGCTGTTGTAATATGATATTTTGTTATTGATAATAACCATGATGATGGTTGAGATTTAAGTATTGATGTTGGAATAAATATAACTTGCATACCAGATAATATATTTGCATGTATTGTATGCCATAAACCAATTTGACGTTTAAAATCTACACAACATAAACATATATCTGTTGATGAATATTTACATGCATTAACAAGTGTTTGTGTATGTACAAATAATTGTTCATAATTAATTGTAACACCAACAATACTACCATCTTTAACAGATGTATATTCAATATATGCTGGTGTTGTTTCATATAATGTACGTGATATATCATTAACTGTCCAATCTTTTGGTGGTTTTGGTAAATGTTCAGTTATAAACCATATTAAATTAGGCCAACCTTTAAATGAAATAATTTCATTTAAATTTGTTGATGATGAATTTGAATTATGTTGTTGAACTTTTGGTAATTGACGATAACATGAATCAGATGTTAAGGCAACTTTAATTGATAATTGACCAAGTAGAATACCAATACGTTGTGAAAGCCAATCCTAAAAAAGCACAACAAAAGAAAGATTTCGTCTTTTTTCTTTTTGGCTTTTTAGTTATTTATGTATTCATTACTCGTCGTGCTAATGGAACATCGATGGGTAATGGAACAATCCCAGCAAGTAAACAACCATAAAAAGCACAAATAAAATTTATTGGATCATTACTTGAATAAACAAGAGCAACCTGAATAGAAACAAGAAGAAGAAAATTCTTATTTTGAATGTTTCATATAATAATTTTAACATACACGATCGCCTGATTTAAGTAAATTTTCTCGTGAATTACTACCAGTATTGCCATGTGAATGAACTTTATGAAGTAAATTATAAGCTATTTTTTGTGAACGTGTTAATAGTTTAACTAAAAGAAAAAGAAACAAAAGTTCATTGTTTATATGAATCCATAGAAAAATATTCTTTTGACTATTGATAAAAAAAAAACTTTTTTTTTTTTCTTCTATTCAATAAATATATGATGAAAATAAAAGTGATCTATTTTGTTAGAATTTGAAAGTTTTCATTGTATATTGACCTTCGAAAGTGGTGTCTTTTTTCTCTTTAAAACCTTCATGAAACTTCATTTCCATATATGATTGATCAACAAGCGAATAGTTTCAAGTTTATCAATTCGTTGTGCCTTCTCATATAATAAATCATCAAGTAGAAGAAATTTATGACGTCAGAATTTAAATGATTTAGTCTAGTTAAGTATTAAATCAACCCTTAAGAAAGTAACATCATAAGATTTTGACAATGTATGAGTTATTTATAAAAAGTATTTTAATTTCTGTTTGATGTGACTGCTTCCGATTACACTTTTGAATGACGACGTTCGTTCTTTTTCTTTTCGTATTATTTTCTTTATAAATATATGATTAAGAAAAAAAAAAACAATTTTCAAGATTTGTCTAAGAAAAAATTTTTTTTCGTGATTTTTTTGCGTTATATGTAAAAATTTTCTTGGATTTTCAATGTATCTATTTCTATTTTCTTTGCAAAATAGTTTATACACTTACGAAATGTAAGTGTTTGTGAAGGTTTTGTTTGTTCATCAAGTATTGTAATTGCATTGGTACGTGGCTGTTGAATAGCATGTTGTTGTAGTGCAGCTAGAAATGTTTTTGGCCATTGTGATGAAACAATCAATTGTTCACCACATGATGGGACTGATATTCCACCTTCAGGCTTCGGTGAAAGTGGATCAATTGGTGGAACTTCAAAGAAAAAAATGTAGATTAAATTATATTAATATAATAATAATAATAATAATAAACCTACTAGCTAATTCTTCTTCATTATCTTCATAATATTCTTTCATTGGCTTACGTTTTGGACGCTAAAAGAAATATAAGAAACCAATTAAGAAGCCATTTTCTTGTTGTTTACATGACGTACTTTTAATGTATTAACAAGGGCAAGAATTTTCGATGAAACACGTAAGCTTGGTTTACGTTCTAAATGAAAAATAATTGTCTTAACGATTACCTATTATTATAAAATCATAATACCAGGGGCGGTTCGTCTAGTAGAAGGTATAACAGATGATATAACATAAACACTTTCGGTATTATGGTACTGATGTTCGTTCATCATCATCGTCATCGTCTTTAAAAGCTTAGTTGAATAGTCACTGTTGATTATTCTCTCCTTCACATACTCTTTTCTTTTTTTTTTTTTTTTTTTTTTTTTTTCTTTTTTCCAATGGCAATAAGGTGTCTTGTTTGTATATTGAATCTTTACGAAATAAAGACAAACGAGGAAGAGGAACGGATCGTAAGGT